TAGTTTCAGCTTTCAGGACACTAGCCCACAGAAAACCCAGAATCACCACACACTTCAATTGTAACTTTTGTCTCTCATTCCTCATCCAAGAAGCCAGAATACAGCTTATAGCCAAAAGGACCCCTTGTGAGCTCCACTCAAGGTGGCTACTCAGAAACTATGTCACTGACTTTTGAAGAGAAATTGCTTCACCTCTCTCTGAGATTAACAGATTGACAACCTGTATCTTGAGTTTTGAAGAGAAATTGCTTCCCCTCTCTCTGTTTGAGATTAACAGATTGACAACCTGTATCTTGACTTCCTAACATCACCCCAAGCAGACTTTATCTGCCACCAGAGCAAGTAAATTCACACAGGAAACACAACCACCAAGTGAAACATTACTTTTTACATGTGGAGGGAGCTGGGAGCTCACTTCATAGTGACAAGAAACAGAGACTGGTCAGGCTGTTTCCATCTAGCCGAGTAGAACTAAGGAGAAAATGCCTCAAGAAGGCTGCAGGAGTAAAGAAATCTTCAACACATTTGACAATGCAGCTAACAGAAGTAAGAGTCTATTTGTTTTCCTGTATAGGGAAGAGTATCATTTGTAATATCACAGCAACTATTTGCTATGAGTAATTATCCTTTGATGCTTCAGTTACCTACACAAAACCTCTCTTCACTTACCTGGAGGCCTAAACAAAACAGGAATGATCTTGTCTGTATCAGGATGTACACTGGACTTAAAAGGAAAAAAAAAGTCAAATGAGACCATCTTTGCCATACTTTGATATGAAAAAAAAAAAAAAAAAAGGATTTCTGAATACTTTGTAAACTTACCAGGCTTAGCAAGAAGGCTTGTTTTGTCTAAACAATTAGAAAATGAGGTTAGTAACCAAATTTCAAAAGAGATTGGGTAAAATCCTCTTTCTAAATGTATTAATCTTTTTTCCCCAATAACTTAATTTTATACAGAATGCCTTATATGTTAATTATTTATATATATGTTATAGATGCTACATATGTTATCTTTGTTAATTATAACCTTTTATTAGTTTTACCTAAAATTTCTCTCCATGTACTCCTTGTTGAATATAACTTCCTCACATCCCATCTGCTGTGTAACAGCATCAAAGTACAAATTATAGCAGAACGAAAAGTTGATTTTAAAAAGTTAAGTTAGTGGGTATTTTAAAACAGAAAACAATAATTCTTAACTATAGCAAAAAGCATAAACACTTATGTGAAGACTTTAGCTTTCTGGAATCACAGAATTTTTCCCTTCTCCTTTCAGACTTTGACACAGAAGGTACTAAATGCTGCACAGGCAGAGTCAAGCAGTCAACAAATGAAAGACTCCTCCTAACAAAGGAAAGGCTCAGCACTACTTGCCAGCATTTCCATGAGTAGATTTCTCACCCAAGTGCTGCTACTGCTCATTTTATGAGGTATGAAACCAAACTAAACTGCCCTCTGTATGATGATGCAACATCTAAGATTCAAAATGTGCTCAGTAAGATTTTCATGTATTTCTCACCTTCCCATATCATCCCAGCTGAAGGCAGACAAGCTTAAAGCAGTGATTCCTAGAGTGGTCTGTGAGCATCTTGTAAATTCTGCAATGTGATACACAACCTAGCATTCTTCAGGGTGGTAACACTGCAATTTGTAGTCATCCCAAGAAATTCCCACCAGACTTATCAATGAGAACAATCCCTGTACTAATGAGTTTTTCATGTGTTATCCCTTGTGGCTGAATCTCAGTATTCTGTCTGCCAGATCTTACATAAATACCAACTGTTTCAGCCATGAGAAGAGATACCTCTGTTTTCCATAAACTGCACTCCAAAATACCTGATCATTTTGTACGGGCTCACTTGGCATCTTCCCACTGGTTTGTATCAATAACCTGGTTCTTCTTATTTCATCCTATATTTGAGAAGAAAGAAAAAAAAAAATAAATCAGAAAAAATTAATTCAATTTTCAATATTCTACAGTGCCAGAGATCAGTTACAAGCCACATTAAATAAAACCTAGAATGTCAAACTAATGCACTTGTCCTTCACCAAAGCAGTTAAAGCAAACACACCTCAACACACAACTAGTTCACAAAATGTGCATTTCACAAAAACTTTTAGATTACTCAGATTCTCTTGGTCCCTTCAACTATCAATCCCTCAACACGTTACACAAATGCACTTGAACTTGAAGTACAGAAAAAACCTCACTGAAACACAGAGTGTTTTTCTTGTGCTTAAAGTTATCCTTTTCGAAGATCTGCTGCTAAAACAACCACCTGGTACCCCCACAAGTAAACAGCTGACTACCTTAAAATGAAATTCTTAACCAGACTTTTAAAATTACCAGAAATTATTCACAACATCACTAGATGTTCCTGCACCTTCACAAATGTGTGAACAAGTTTTGCACTGTACAGTCCCCCTTTTAAGCGTGGCTTACACTTATGGAAAAAATGTGCACCTGAACAAAGAGAATAAAACTGTAGTAGTTACCCATAGTCTACATAAAAAGCTGCCTCTCAGGAGCATTGATGAGATGATTTGACTTTTCTTCAACAGGCACATCTCTGTTTCCAACAGTGCAACTCAAGGAGGCATGAACTAATCCCAGATATCCAAATCCCTGAAGGTACTATAAAATTTTCTACTCGATGTTTTTATATATATGTGTGTGTGTGTGTATAATGTACATTTACTAAATTATATTACTTGCACAGGTAAATACACGTAGAGATACATATTCATACAATATATGTACGTATATGTAGATAAAAGGTACACACAACACACTAACTCTGCAAGTGACAAGGAAATACCTCATGTACACGCGTCTTGAGTGTTACTTTGCTTTAATGGAGCTTTCCCTCAAAAGGTAATACATGAAATTAAACATGAATATTCCCTTAGCACACTGATCTGCCAGACAGCTTTCACAGTCTGTGCTGTTTCTTCCTGCCACCCCTGACAGGAGCAAAGGGGGGTGTCCCCAGGGCGCTACTCACCGCGGACTTGAGCAGCAGCGAGGGATCCAGGACGTCGGCCCAGAGCAGGAACCTCTGCAAGAAGGACTGAAGCAGACACGGGGATGTGAGGGGCAGCTGGCAGGGAGGCAGGCAGGCAGGGAGGGAGGCAGGGAGGGAGGGAGGCAGGGAGGCAGGCAGGCAGGGAGGGAGGCAGGCAGGGAGGGAGGCAGGCAGGGAGGGAGGCAGGCAGGGAGGGAGGCAGGCAGGGAGGGAGGCAGGCAGGGAGGGAGGCAGGCAGGGAGGCAGGCAGGGAGGCAGGCAGGCAGGGAGGCAGGCAGGCAGGGAGGCAGGCAGGGAGGGAGGCAGGCAGGGAGGCAGGCAGGCAGGGAGGCAGGCAGGCAGGGAGGCAGGCAGGGAGGGAGGCAGGCAGGGAGGCAGGCAGGCAGGGAGGCAGGCAGGCAGGGAGGCAGGCAGGGAGGGAGGCAGGCAGGGAGGCAGGCAGGCAGGGAGGCAGGCAGGCAGCGCGGGGCCGCGCCGGGCCGGGCCGGGCCGGGCCGGGGCCTGAGGCGATGCAGGCCCTGCTGGGCTGTGGGGAGAGCAGGCCTTGGTGCCCGCAGCCCCACAGCACCCTCAGCACAGCCCGCCGAGCCTTGGAAAGCAGGTCACGCTTAGGAAAGGTCCGATCGACCATTTTCCCGGCAGTTTTCCCCCCTGTGTGCCAGCCGGGAAGGCAGGGCCGAGGACGGTGGCTGCGGAGCCTGCCCTGTGGGGCCGCGGGCGGGAAGAGCTGCCAGCAGCACCACCAACGCGTTGTTCTACATCACCCAGCTGCCCAGGGGATAACCTCACGTATCGTAGGTCCCGGAGATCAGGCTGATCGGAAAAATGCCACGGCTGGTAGTGGATTTACTCAAAGCTGAACTAAAACACTTGGGACTGGAAAGAGAGTTGGAAGTGCTGACACCTGGAGCATCATCCAGCACCACCCACCGGGCTCGTTTTCCCCTCCTTTCACTGCCACTGCAACACTGACACCTGCTGCAAAGCAAACTGAGGACACAGCACCCACCTTCCCCAGGTGGTTCCCTCGTGCTCCTATTTTAACTCCTTTTCCCTGCTCAAAAGGAAGATTGTTTTACTGAGCACACCTGCTACCCACTGTTGATGGCCCCCTCACCACAGGGCACACAGAAGGGCAGTGCTGGCTGAGAGCTGCTTGCTGGGAACAGTGGTATAGACAGGACTTGCTAAGGCAACACAACTTACCCAACTCCTTCAAGAGAAACAGGAATCTTTGAGCATAAAGGGAAAGAAAAGCAAAGCAACACACCTGCTTATAGTCAATGTTCAGGTTTATTATTATAGCCAGAGAAATGCCACAGTGTTTTCAAGCAGTACATTTCACCTCTTAAGTTTTTCCTGGAGACAGATTCAAGCAAGTAAGCAATGCTTTAAGTGACTGAAGACTGTCATGAAGCTCCAGTAAGTACACTACTGGGGTTCAGGTTTTTACCCTTTCCCAAGCAGAATGAAAGCTCTTCATGCTTGTCCATGCTCCCTTGAAGCTGCGCTGCATCTTTGACTATATGCAGGATTAAAATGGCACATTCTTAGATTCATTACAAGTTATAGTGCATTTACACAGAAAAAAAAAGGGGATTATTTTCTTAATTTTTTCTTGTTACATTCATCTCGTCCTCTGCAACATTCATTAAAAAAAAAGCCATGTATTGAAATTCTGTTTTCTGTGTTGTACCCATTGTTACAAAACTCTTGTTAGAGAATTTCCCATTAAAAACCAAAACAAAAAGCAGGACACTTTCCAGTCCAAAAATTGGTTAAAGGAAGAGGAAACAGCCAGTAGAATACAACTGTATTTTGTGTACTTGTCATACTCAGGAAGAAAACTAGTGGTCACAGAAATTCATGAAACTGAGTTTGGAAAGGGGAGAAAAAAGTCTTAGCTTTTAGCCTTCTTTTTAAAACAGGACAGGGGCAGCAGTAAATATTTCAACATTTATTTTCTTTTTAGGCATCAGAAAATATGAACTTTTATTATTTTCATAATCACAGCTTCTTTCCTAATGTCTTCAGTGTACGGAAACTAAGAGTTTTGTCCACATATTTGAGTGTTTATTTATGCACTTTCTCAAAATATTCTTTAGAACCTTCTGGGCTTGGTTTGATCTGTCAAAAAAAGAAAAATTAATTATTACATGCTACAACTAAGATTAAAAACATTACAGGTTTGACACTTTATGAAAATCCAAGCATACTTTATAAAAACAATAGGTTATTTCTGGTTTTGCACCTGGTTGAAAGATGAAAGCTGCAATGATGTACAAGCTCCCACTTGCAGATTTTAAGTGTACAACACATTTTCCCTGCTAAGTATCAAGCAAGGCAGAGATTTAAGTCAAGCACCTCACATTGAAGTGGTTCTCAGCCCTTCAGACATGTGCAAACATGCCAGTGTCTATATTTAGAGAAGTGGTATTTAGCAGAGACTTACTGTAGGGGAGTTGGGAGTCCAGTTTGCTGGGCAAACCTCTCCATGTGTTTCCACAAACTGGAATGCCTTCACCAGGCGGAGGGTCTCTTCCACACTACGACCCACGGGGAGATCATTGACACTTAGATGCTTGATGATCCCATTTGGATCAATGATGAAGAGACCTCTGTAATTGAGCAAGAATTCAGGGAATGCAAATCACGTCCCGAGACCAAACACAAGAAACTGGATTGAATTATTTCAGCGAGGCAGTTATTCTTAGATGTACGTGTCAGAGTTAGGAGCAGCAACTGATTGATTGATTGATTGTTAGTGTGCTGATCAAAAGCCAAGAACCAGTCCCCTGGTATGGTATTGTGAAGTTACCAACTATACCTCAAGACTGTTAAATTGAGACAGGTGTCTAACAAAGGTAGAAGTTCTAATTCCACCTGTATTTCCAAGCTGATAGCTGGCATCCTTCCCATGCCTTTTTGATATGAAAATCCAAAGGTACTGAGAGTGAAGAGTTCCTTACACATTAAGCTACTAAATTAAATCCTGTTGCATACAGACATTTGTGAAAACCAAAGTCCCAGTCTTACCATACTAATTAACTTCATTTGTCAACAAAGGTCAGAAGTTCCTGATCCGAAGAGATCAGGAACTGAAAGTCTCCAGAAGACTCCTGCCCAATCCAGTGGCTCAGAAGGACCACTGTTTGCTTTTAATAAGTATTCCCATGGTGGAGAAGGAAATGTCAATATTTTTATTCTAGGTAATTGTGGGACTGACGGTAGTGGCCTCTAGGACTACTGCTTTAGAAACTTCTCACACAGAAGTTAAGGCAGTCTCTTCCTTCAGAAGAATGGGGGGGGGAAAGGGACAGACCTAAATTGTGGAAAAAAAATGTAAAAACTTTTCTATCCTCCTCGTTTTCCTCAGTCACACAGAGGTCCCTCCCCCATCTCTTCCTTCAGAAGAATGGGAAAAAACAAAAAGGACAAACCTAAATTTTTTTTATGGAAAAAAATGTAAAAACTTTTCTATCCTACTCCTTGTTTTCCTCAGTCACACAGAGGTCCCTCCCCCCCAAGAACATCACAGCTGCCATTCCCCTGCATGTATTTTCAGAAAGGGCTAGAACCATTCTCAACTGAACGGCCACAATGGCCACGTGCCCTTCTCCTAGGGTGGGATCCAGCAGAAGTTCTGCAGAACAAGTGACACCTTGCAGCCTTCACTTTGGTCCGTGTGCAGTTTCCCCTGGAGGAGGGGACAGCTCTGTGACGCTGCCTTAGGCTGGGCTGTGTGGTAACAGAGTCACTGGCAATCATCCATTACCTCAGTGCTATGCCAGGTTCTTCCAGCAGCACACCATAAGCACGGGAGATTTGTTTTGTGAGGTCTGACAGAACTGGAATATTCATTTTTCCCAAACCGCCACTCTAGAAAAAAAAGAGCAAGATGCCATTTTGTTACAAAATGCTTTTTAGGATTATCCTTGAGTCGCTGGGCTCAGTGCTCTTGAAGGTACATTGACAACAAAACACATTCATGCAATTTGCTCTGTGAAAGGAACCATTGTGGGAAGGGGGTGTAATGGTTTTGCTGTTTGGTTGGTTTTGGTTGGTTGGTTAAAGTAGTCAGAAACATTCCATTTCTTCAGAAAATGAAAACTCCTTTTGCGCTGAGGATTTTATAATTCCTTGTTTTGGTGGTAAAAGACTACCTATGACAACAGGCATACATGTTCAGGATTTCCCTTGTATGCTATTCAGAAGCTTTGAACACAAAAATTTCTACTGCATATTTTAAGTGTTCAAAATCAAACAAGATGAACATGGTGGGGAAAGGAAAACAAATCTGCAGAATATGAACAGACAATGGTCAGAATATATGGCTTCTGACAGCCATACTAGATATGTCAGAATTCTGCTACTTTCTCTACATAGTGCATGTATTAATTTTTTTCCCTCCCCCAAATCAATTTAAATACTATTTACCAAGATTTGGTTCAATTTTGCAACCTACTGGAACTGCAGGAGAGATAAGCTCTCTATCCTTGAAACAAGCCCAGGGTTTGTTAGCTTTTCTATTCCTGTCATCATCAGTGAATCATTGTGCAATCTCAAGTCACTCAGACCCTGATCCTGCAAACGCTTGTCTGCAAGAGTCCTCATAGGCAGAGCTTTGAGTGCAGATGTCAGAGAAACCAAGGCCTTCCTTTCTCTGGGTGTCAGTTTCCCATCTGCACCACCACAGAATTCCTTCCACTCCTTGCAGGGTGTTTGCTATGTGAGCACTGAGCAGCACCTGACTGGCTTTATGCTTTTGCATAAAGCAGCAGATTCAGCCCCCAGTCACCCTTTGGAGCTTTGAACAGAGCATGCAGAAAATTCAGTACTCTCAATAAGCTCAGCCAGGCCATATGAAATCTAGCAAGCTCTCCTCCCTGCCCAAAATGCTGCAATAGCAGAGCCATGCACCTGGAGGCACCCCAGCCTGTGAACAGGACTGCAGACTGCTGCCCGCACCACCACATGGGTCATGACTGATGGCACAGGAGCTTCTGCACCTTCCTGCGACACATCTGATCCTCTACAGCTAACCACATCTGTCGGGTGCTTTGTGGGATCAAAGTGGGCATTTTATGTACATCTGGCAGAGGCCCCTCTCCAGTCAAAGGCTGTCTTCATCACCATTCCCTGAAGAAAGCTGAGGGCCTCTGTTTTTATCCCAGAAGTGGAACCATTTCAGCAAGTGACACTTGATAACACAAGTGCTCCAATATACTCGTTCTGCTGCTTCCATTCTGAAGCCATCATTGTTAGGTATTGGTAAAAAATGATGACTAAACAGCTGCTATTCATTTTCTGTGAGGGTGCACACAAACCATCAGCTGTAACAAGCACCTTAGGACAGTGACATGTATCCTGAATATTTGTCATTCAGGATAAACGTGTAAGGATGTGATGTAACCTACAAGACTGTCAAGAGCAAAACATAAGATAAAAACCCACCAAATTATTAAGAAAAAGAGCAAGAAAGACAGCAAAGACTGAGGTCAGAATTATGTCATCAAATGCAGAAGTTAAATAACTTTAGATAATCTACTGAAATCAGTGTTTGTAGAATTGTTTATTCAACTCTTCTCAGGAGCTCATGTGGAGAGAAAAAAACAAAAGAGAGAAAGCCCCAAACAGCTGCTCAACTCATACCTTTCGTGGTGTGTTTATCCAGGCCAGATGACAAAAATGAGAATCCACAGAAACTGCCACCACTTCACAGTTCACATCACGAAATTCATTTGCTTTGTTGCTGAAAGCCACGATTTCTGTGGGGCAGACGAAGGTGCTGGATGGGAAGAGAGAACAGGCTGTAGTGATTCTGCAGTCTCTTCAGAGGATTTTTTTAGAAAAGACTCTTGTGTCTGTTTCTAGGCATTAGTGCAGCAGCACATTTTCTTTAGCCTGATAATTATAACCATGTTTCCTGCTCAGGATTAGCTTCAGCAAGTCTCCACACAACAGCCATAGCCACCTTGCTGGCACACAGTTTTCAGCTCTCAGTTCTAGTCAGATTTTTGTTTGCAGAGATGGAGAAACTGTCTCTGCTAGACACCCTAGAGACTGAGTTTTGGGAAACTAACAGAAAAGACTGCAGGTTAAATTCTCCCCCATGTACCAATGACACTAAATGTCAGCAGAACTGCCCAGGATGCTCCTGATGATTCCAGTCTCCCAGTCAAGCTCAGCCCCATCTGGTCACCTTTTGCTTCGGAGCAGTCTCCTGCAGTTCTGCTGGCCCTGCTGCTTAAGAGGACAGAGTCCCCCATGCAACCCTGAACTGCAAGGCAATGAATGCCCTCACCCCTGGGATCTCTCTGCCTGTGAAAGGAACCAGACTTGCCAGCCCACATCTATCTCCTGAGGCAGTTCCAGCAGCTCAAAGATGCTCTCAGCCACCAGGTCCATCGTGTTAGCACACAGGGGCCTTTTGCCACCAAACCTTATCAGTCACGCTCTAGAAACAGACACATCTGCCTTGCAAGACTAGCCTAGATAAGGTAAAAACAGCCTCTTTAGACAGCGATGATCTTCAGCACTTCTGATGACCTTCAGCCAGGCAGAAGGCCCATCCGAGAGGAGAAAAACCTTCACTCACAAGTCCAGGGGGTAGAAGAAGAGGACCAGGTACTTCCCCTTGAAATCATCCAGGCTCAGCTCCTTGAACTCTCCGTTGACAACAGCCGTGCCCTTAAAAAACGGGGCGTGCTGCGTAACCGCTGGGGTGAACCGCGGGGAGCCTGCGGGGGAGGGAAACAACAGCGCTGCGGGGTGGGTGGGATGGACGGGATGGATGGGACGGATGTGCAGCTGCGGGATGGATGGGATGGATGGGATGGATGTGCGGCTGCGGGATGGATGGGAGGATGTGCAGCCGCGGGCGGCTGCGGGATGGATGGGATGGATGGGATGGATGGGATGGATGGGATGGATGGGATGGATGGGGTGGATGTGCGGCTGCGGGATGGATGGGATGGATGGGATGGATGGGATGGATGGGATGGATGGGATGGATGGGATGGATGGGATGGATGGGATGGATGGGATGGATGGGATGGATGGGATGGATGGGATGGATGGGATGGATGGGATGGATGGGATGGATGGGATGGATGGGATGGATGGGATGGATGGGATGGATGGGATGGATGGGATGGATGGGATGGATGGGATGGATGGGATGGATGGGGTGGATGTGCGGCTGCGGGATGGATGGGATGGATGGGATGGATGGGATGGATGGGATGGATGGGGTGGATGTGCGGCTGCGGGATGGATGGGATGGATGGGATGGATGGGATGGATGGGATGGATGGGGTGGATGTGCGGCTGCGGGATGGATGGGATGGATGGGATGGATGGGATGGATGGGATGGATGGGGTGGATGTGCGGCTGCGGGATGGATGGGATGGATGGGATGGATGGGATGGATGGGATGGATGGGGTGGATGTGCGGCTGCGGGATGGATGGGATGGATGGGATGGATGGGATGGATGGGATGGATGGGGTGGATGTGCGGCTGCGGGATGGATGGGATGGATGGGATGGATGGGATGGATGGGATGGATGGGGTGGATGTGCGGCTGCGGGATGGATGGGATGGATGGGATGGATGGGATGGATGGGATGGATGGGGTGGATGTGCGGCTGCGGGATGGATGGGATGGATGGGATGGATGGGATGGATGGGATGGATGGGGTGGATGTGCGGCTGCGGGATGGATGGGATGGATGGGATGGATGGGATGGATGGGATGGATGGGGTGGATGTGCGGCTGCGGGATGGATGGGATGGATGGGATGGATGGGATGGATGGGATGGATGGGGTGGATGTGCGGCTGCGGGATGGATGGGATGGATGGGATGGATGGGATGGATGGGATGGATGGGGTGGATGTGCGGCTGCGGGATGGATGGGATGGATGGGATGGATGGGATGGATGGGATGGATGGGGTGGATGTGCGAAGAGCTGCCGGGGGGTAGGTTAGCTCTTGGAGGAGGCAGCAGAGCCACAAAGCCCTGTCACAAGCCTGTCTCCTGCCAGGTGGCAGCAGGGCAGGACAGGTGTGCAGCGGGTGGAAAGGACCAGCTGTGTCCCTGATGTTGGCGTTCTCAGAGACTCTGCTCTAGAAGCTCCCGCATCTCAAGCTAAAGGAGCTGCTTTAACAGACTGGTGAGCAGTGAGAGGCTCTCCCGAGCTGTTTTTGCTGCACAGCTGATGGTGGCAGCAGCAGAGATTGCCTTCGCCCCCCTCTGCTAGGCCGGATGCTCTGGGGCAGCACAAGCATGACCCAGAGTGCTGAAAAACAAACGCTTTCTAAAAGTCCAGTTTTTCTTTTCTCAGCTTCTTTTTGTCTGTTTTTTCATCTAAGTAGTCAAGTAGAGTTGAACCCACTTTCACTTCTGGGGTTTGGTAATTTCTGGTTTACTATTCATATAGTAACTCTCTACAGACTTTTACAAAGGGGAGATTCCACCTTGTGAGGCTAGAGATAAGTCCTCTAGCAGGATGAGTTCAGCCATCAGGCAGCCAGAGCAATGTCAGCTACATCCCATGCCCCTGGGATGAGCTCAATGGGTTCTGAATCTATACTGAACAAATCAGCAAACTTACTCCTGGTACCCATCTCTCTGGCACGGCCCAGTCACCTCTGTAACAATAAACTCTCCGAGCCTTCACAACAGGCAGTTTGCCTGTTGGGGTTGGTCACTAGCTGGTATTAACTCTTGGCTGTGCCCAGGAACTGTTTGAGGCAGTGTTACTTGGTGTTGTCGAGAAACATGCTGAGACCTCTCTAAGCCTTTAGCATCATCACCAGTTTCAGTTGCTAGTGCCTTTCTTTGGCACACCTAACTTTATTAATCCAGATGTAGCCAATGACAGCTGGAAATGTGGCTCTGATAATCTTCTCAAATCTTCTCTTCTGTAGTGCCCAGCAGGGCAGCCAGAGTAACATTGCCTACTCATTCCTACATGCACAGAGGTACTGGGCACCTGGCTGAGCTGGTGATGAAGATGGAGGTGCCTGGAAGGAGATGACAAAGATGGAAGTGTTGTGCACAAAGATGCAGGAGATGGATTGTTGTTATAGCTATGGCGAGATGAGGGGGAAGAAAATCAGAATGCTAAAGGATACAGGTACTCCTGTATGGGATCCACCCACACTAACTGATTCCTGCATCCATTGATTTATTTGACTTCAAGTAGACATAGCTCTTGCTTTTGATTCCAAAGCTGTTCACTTCAGGCTCAACAGCCTCTGACGAGCTCTGTGTCTGCACTTGAGCACGTGTGCATACGTGTGCACAGGCACGGTGCTGGGTCATGGAGCCAGCAGGTTCTCTGTTAAGGAGCCCTACAAACCCCATGCTTCTTGTTAGCATTTTGCTAAGGGAAACCTGAAGGTGTCTGAGAGAGTTCAGTTTTGACTCTTGACAATTGAGCAGGGCTGACTGCAAGTGCAGCTGGATGGGGACTGTGCTGGGAAGGTCACTGGCAGAGCGAGGGGAGCCAGCTGGCTGTGCTGTTGGCTTATTTGCATGTCTGTTGCTGAAACAGTTAAGGGTATTCCTGCTTAAAACCCCCTCAAAGCCTAAAAGTGGAAGCAAGGAAACTATTTGTATGTTAGAAAACACGTCAGATGCAGTGTGGGTGAGCTCTGCTGTAGCCTGCAGACCTGGGAGGTAGAGGGGGAAGGAGCAGCTGTTGAGAGACTCGTCTGCAGTAGAGGTGAGGGTGGTCTTCCTGCCACTGCTCAGGGCTGCCAGCAGAGCAGCAAGGAGTGGAGCTGAGCCTGGGACACCTGCAGCACAGTGACTGTTGGTGAAGAGCAGCAAAAACACATCAGCTGTACCTGGACCCATTCCCTGAACAGCAGTGCAGAATGGCACAGCTGCCGGGCTGGCACATCCCCTGGAATGGGGAGGTGTTCTTGCCCAGGCAAGTCCCCATGGCTAGGCAGCAAATTGTCTACCCGTGGACAGCTGGGCCACAGCAGTTCCTTTCCTTCAGCTGTGGGAGCTGTATTGTGGCAGCAAAAAAAGGGCTATTGCTAGGATTTCCTGAGGATGGTTGTCTCGCCCACAGATCATTATTCACAACTTCTAAGTTGATGTATTCTAAAACGATGTCCTTCCCCCCTCCCTGGAAAGTTTTGTTTGTTTAAAACTCTTTGTTTAAACACTTGGCTTGCAGGTGGGGAAATGTTCATGCTTTGTTATGAAGGCAGCATAGTTCAGCTTCTCAGACTCTGGGCAAGAACTTGAACTACTGCCATTTAACAGAGGGTTTCTTTTCCATTTTGCTTTTTATTGGGCATCACTACAATTTGAAGATGGACCTTTTTACTGCCAAAGCACACCTGGATTTGGTGTTGCTCCTTTTCCCTCAGCTCTGGCTCTGGTACAGGCTAGAGCAGCTGCTAAACTCAGTTTTTCTTGCCATCTGAATTTCAAAATAAACCTACTGAGCGGTACCATATGTGCAGCTTTCTCCAAACCTTGTTGGTTGTCTGCTTTGCTGTCTCCCACGGGCCTTTCTTGGTGGGACAGGCCCCACTCTCATATCTCATCCTGCTGGTTCATAATGATGCAGTGCAAGCTCAGCAGTGTACAGATATGTTCTCATTTAAGCCTGAGTCAAATTGAGACCTCTGAAGCTGGTGAAAGGCTCTCCAGGGATTTCAGCAGGCTTTAGGGAGAAGTTTGCATTGTTGCCAGGTGCAGAGCAGTAGATAAGGCACTTGAACAGATAATAGGAAATGTGAAGTTCATTTTTGGTCAGGATATTTATCTGCCTGCTCTCACTTTGTGCCTCTTTTACCATATCTGGGAATAATTAAATACACCTTTCTGGTGAAAAACATTGAGCTCTGTTGATAAAAAGTATTAAATAACACTTGTGCGTTGCTACCATTATTGGGTTTTGAGAGTTTTTAAAGAGTTCTTGGAAAAATCATCAACACCACAAAATACTAGCGAGAAGGTAACTGCTTCTCTCTAAAATTGTTGAAAGGGGGAAGCAAATCCCAAATCAGATCTGCTGCTTTAGGTCGTGGCATGGCAGGTTCTGTGCAGACTATGGGGTGCATCTGTTTGCTTGTTTAAAAAATAAAATCTGCTCGTCTTTTAGAAGCTTATTGTATTCAGTGTGCTCAAATGCTGTAACAGTTATTTGTGTTCTACCTTGAGGAAACAGATAACTGGGGGGGTGGGGGGAAGGTTTGAAAATGGAAAGAAACAACAGAGAGGCATCAACATTTCTGTCTGAACCAAAGCAAGATGATGGGTTTAGCCAACAGGGTGCATCACCCCACGGCTGTTGGTAGATGGCAGCCTCCGTCCTTCCGCAGAGGGCTCCCTGGAAAAGCCTCCAGCTGCCTGCAAATGCTCCTTCTCAGGCCTCTGTGCTCCCACCTGCTGATACCGCATCTCAGCAGGAGGCAAAAGAATGTCCCCGTTTGTAGGAATAAGTTTCAGACGCAGTTCCTAACACAACGCAGCTCCACTGCCTTAATTGCATAGTAGTAGGTGGGTTTTGGAGACAGCCGCTGTGAGGTGTGTTCCCAGCTGGTAGGAACAGGCAAAAGCTTCGCTGGGGGTCTTATCCTGACGTTTCGAGCCGGCTGTCCTGAGGCCAAGGGGTTTTTCTGCGGCGGCAGGAGAAGGCAGGGTGTTTTGCAGCTGTGTTCCTGGCTGGGGCGGCGGAGCCCACCGTGCCGGTGACCCATCCCCGCCGGCCGCTGGAGCCCCGCGCTCTGCCCCGCCGCCTCCCCGGGCTGCTTGCGCTGATGCGCCTGGGTCCCGC